GCCCTTGGTAGAGTGCCATGGCGTCACAGCTCACAGCCAACTCCAGCTTTTGGGCTTAGGCAATTTTTTTGTTGCATTTTGGCAGGGGCTGGGTTCAAACCCGCCAACCTCGGTATATGGAGCACGGTGCCCAACTCACTGAGCCACAGGTGCCACCCTAGCTCCACTGGTTTGACACAGACCAAATGAGGAGATGAAGGAAAGGGTCACCAATTTCCTGAAGATAGAGGAAGAATAACTAGGCAGAGCCAGGAAGAAGGCTGAGAGAGGTGGCTCAGCAACATTCTGAAGACAGGTGAGAAGAAGGAAAGTAGAATAAGACCAGCAGGCAGACAAAATCAAACAGAGGAGTCCAGAAACCAATTCTATGGAGAGATCCCATAGAGAAGCCTTTTTCTTCTTGTCTATTTTTCTCCTCTCATCTTTGTCCCAGAAGGAAAGGATGAAAGACTGGGTAGAACCTGGTCCAGAGGGCTTCACAGAAGGTATCTCCTAGAGTGGGCTCCAAGTGAAGGGGTGGGGCTCACAGGTGGACCCCAGTCTAAGGCACAGCCCGGCAGGGAAAGGTCAAAGTTCACACATGGCTCTGAGGATAGATGCCCCAGGGTCTTGGATCTTGAACACTGCAGGAATCTGCAGATGGGATCTCACTGTCTGATTCAAGGAAAGAAGGATAAAGAAGACCAGATGGGAGACTGTCAGCAAGACTGACTGTTTACTGGTCACCTAAGCAACCAAATTAGGGGTGTTCTACCTGACCTCACACACACCAATTAGCAGTGGAAGTTCAATGCATGTTTTATGAATGGAAGAGTAAATTAAGCAATTAAAGAAAAAGCAAAATCCACTGAGTAGTGACAGGCTTTGTTTCACAACCTGAGACTAGAGTAGGCGACTGGAGTAAGCAAACACTACTGAGGCAGGTAGCACGGCAAAAGCAAAGGGCTGGGCCTTGTAGCTCACACCTGTAAACCTGGCACTCTGAGAGGTGAAGACAGGAGAATCCCTTGAGTTGAGGAGGTCAAGACCAGCCTGAGCAAGAGTGAGACTCCACCTGTACTAAAAATAGAAAAATTAGTCAAGTGTCGCGGCAGATGCCTGTAGTCCCAGCTAATGGGGAGACTGAGGCAGAAGGACTGCTTCAACCCAGGAGTCTGAGGCTGCTGTGAGCTAGGCTGATGTCATGGTACTCTAGCCTGGTCAACAGAGACTCTCTCTCTCTCTCTCAAAAAAAAGGGGGGGGGCAAAAGTAGGGAGGGTTATGATGTCATTGATGTACCTAAATCCCCCTAAAGGCAGGTCAGGATTGCTAAGTTACCGAAGTCTGAACTGAGCTGTCAGGTCTGAGTCAGCAAACTTAGCCTTTCCTGGGGTAACCCTATCTGGATCAAGCCCCTCTTAGTACTCTGATCCCTCTCTGGAAAAAGGGAAAGGGACAAGAGAAGCAAAGTGGGGAAGGGAGGAGGAGGAACTAGTTTTCAACACTCATGTCTCCCCTTAAGTCTCCATCTTTATTATCCCAGGTGGGTACTCAGAAATTCCTTTACTCATAAGAGTCTCAAGAATCTTCTTCTTAGGAATCTAGGGGCTTCTTGCCAATTATTTTAAAGCAGAGGAACATAGTAAGATACATGTTATAGAACTAAACAGTAACGGTGATGTCTAGGGCAATCAAGTCTCAAGATCCTAGATGAGGATGAGAGGAATTCACATATACTTGATGGTATCAGCCACCTACAGGAATCTCCTCTTTATAGTAAGCTGTTTCAGGAGTCTCCAAGACCACCAACATATGGTTGTACTCACGGCCTAATTTTATAGTGAAAGGACATTAACAAAGAAAAGGATACATGTGAAATCTGGAGAAACCCACGCCCAGCTTCCTATGTTCTCTCTATTCTGTAACGGTACATGCCAAGCCTGCTCCTTGCACGGCAGCAAAAAATGCAGTAACACATGTGCAATGTTAGTGCCTCGGAAAGTCCATTAGAAACTCAGTGCTTAAGGGGCTGGTCACATAGGTACCATCTGCCTTTCAATCAAGATTCACATAAGGAGGCTCGGCGCCCAAAGCACAGTTGTTAGGGCGCCAGCCACATACACCAAAGTTGGTGGGTTTGAACCTGACCCAGGCCAGCTAAACAACGACAACTGCAACAAAAAATAGCCAGGCATTGTGGCAAGTGCCTGCAGTCCCAGCTACTTGGGAGCCTGAGGCAGGAGAATGGCTTAAGCCCAAGAGTTTGAGGTTGCTGTGAGCTGTGATGCCACAGCACTCTACCAAGGGTGACAAAGTAAGACTGTCACAAAAAAGAAAAGAAAAAAAAAGGATTCCCTTAAGGAGAGAAGGTGTTCAGCACAGATCATATTGTTCATAAAAAGAATCTAGGCATGGTTAACTACGTTTATTAGTTAGGGAACTGAGGGAACTGTGTCTGTGCCAAGTTTCCAGATGCCAGCCAAGGGCCAACCTTATAAGCAAACCCTGGTAAACACAACAGCCTCAGACCTGCTCTGTTAACTCTTCTGCACAGACGTGATTGATTGGTAAATGTCATCAATGAGACTGAAGTAAGTGGCACTAAGGAGGTGTCAACATGACACTGTGTTGATTATAAAATATACTGCAATCTCTACAGTTGAAGTAGTTATGACAAGATACACAGCTAACAATGTTGCAATTACAGAACATTCCTTCCACTAGTGAACACAGCTGAAGAAATCAAGATGAGCTCAAGGTGCACTTTTCAGTTACTGAATGGGAAGGAGGGCTACCACTGCCAGAGCTGCAGGACCATCTCCTCAAAGGTCATCCATTTTCTTCACTCTCTTCTCTCTTTTCCCTGAATCCAACAATCAACCTTCTGATATGTTTTTGGTCCTCCTATTAATAAAAGAATGTGCTGACTAGTTGGCATGCATTTGATTTAATAAACCAGCACTACGGTCCATTAGTCAGGCTCATCTAACTTTAACAGTGATCATTCATTAGGTACCCAGCCTTTTTGTTGATTTTTACAAAACTCCTACCTATCTTGTTTTTTTTTTTTTTTTTTGAGACAGAGCCTCAAGCTGTTGCCCTGGGTTGAGTGCCGTGGCATTACAGCTCACAGCAACCTCCAACTCCTGGGCTCAAGCGAGTCTCTTGCCTCTGCCTCCCAAGTAGCTGGGACCACAGGCGCCCGCCACAACGCCCGGCTATTTTTTGGTTGCAGCCGTCATTGTTGTTTGGCGGGTCTGGGCTGGGGATTCAAACCCGCCACCTTAGGTGTACGTGGCTGGCGCCTTAGCCGGTTGAGCTATAGGCGCCGGGCCCCTATCTTGTTTTTGACAGGAAAAAACAGAGGGTCAGAGTAAGGAACTGACACACCCAGAGACACAATAGTGTATATCAGTTAATAAAGGGATTTAAATTCAGATGGTCCTATGTCCCTTGGCCAATTTTTTCTATTCTACTGTACTCCCACTTATATTTTTTTTAAAAAACAAGAGTCTTGCTGAGCACAGTGGCTCACACTTGTAATCCCAGCACTCTGGGAGGCTGAGGCAGGTGGACTGCTTGAGCTCAGGGGTTCACGGTGAGCCTGAGCAAAAACAAGAGCAAGACCCCACAGCTAAAAAATAGCCAGGCGTTGTGGTGGGTGCCTGTAGTCCCAGCTATTCAGGAGGCTGAGGCAGGAGGATCACTTGAACTGAAGAGTTTGAGGTTGCTGTGAGCTATGATGCCATATCACTCTACCAAGGGTGACAAAGTGAGATTCTGTCTCAAAAAAATAAATAAAAATAAGTAAAACAGAGTCTTACTCTGTTGCCCAGGCTAGAGTGCCACGGTGTCAGCTTAGCTCACAGCAACCTCAAACTCCTGGGTGGAGGTGATCCTCCTGTCTCAGCCTCCTGAGTAGCTGGGACTACAGATGCCAGCCACACACCTGGCTAACTTTTCTATTTTTAGTAGAGATGGGTCTTGCCCTTGCTGAGGCTGCTCTCAAACTCCTGAGCTCAAGTGATTCCCCTGTCTCGGCCTCCCAGAGTGCTAAGATTACAGGCATGAGCCACCGTGCCCGGTCAACTGTACTCCTTCTTTCACCAGAAGTCAGGCTGACATCAATCTTCCAGGACCCACTTACCCAGCAGATAAGTGATAAAATCAAATTTGAGAATCTCCAAAGCCAAAGACCAGATCACTCGCTCTGTCAAAGTGCCTAAAACAGCTTTTCATTTTCCCCCCTCACCAGAGCTCCCAAACCAAATTTAGTCGTGGTTCTAAAGTCTTTTTTCTTTCCATGATCCCAGGCATACCCTTGAACTGCCTTTCACCTTTCTTCCAAGATAAGGATTCCTCTGGCACCCGTTCTCTTCTCTCTTCTGAAGCAATCCTGAGTTCACTTCGCTGCACAACGACAGTTCACTCCCTCTTCCCTGCCACTATCTTCTCCAAATGCACAACCTTTTACCCAATCTAACGCCCCCAGCCTTGTAAAATAACAATGCGCAGTCGGTTTTCGGTTTAGAAAGCACTTTCCCGCAGTGTTTCCCCTGCCCGCCACCACAATCTGCTTAAGAGAGCAAAGCAACCTAAAAGAAAGACATCTCCCCAAGGTCACGGGATTAAACACCAAGAAAAATAGGGACCAGAGCCCCTGGTTTTGAATTCTGGTCTTCGGCTGATCCCAATGCGCCCCATTGGCGCCCACGTTCCAGCCCCGACGATGTCACGAGACGCTACCTCGGCCAGTAGGTCACATCCCTCCCACGCCCACCACCTGCAGCACCCCCGCTTGCCCCGCCGACCCCTCCCCCACGGCCCCTCTCTTCACTACCCCCGTTTCCCCACGAGTCTCACCTTGCCTTGTCTGCCTGACATAGCAGACAAGCCCCCTCCCATCACAGGCAGCTCGCGACCCCCGACTCCGGCTCCCACGGACCCTCGCCCTGCCTTCCCGCTTCGCCGCCGCAAGCCCCTCCTCCTGTCAGCCCGCGGCCGAGCCCGCCAAGCTCACCTTCTCCAACGATGCTGGTCTCTGTACCGCCAAGGAACGGGCCAGTGACAGGACCGTGTTAAAATAGAAACCCCGCGAGGCGCTGGAGCTGGAGCCGGAGCCGGAGCCGGCGCTGCCGCTGCCGCTTCCCCTGGCCCCGGCCGCCGCCATCATCGCGCGCGCCGCGGCGCAGCCCGCCGGCTCCCCGCACCTGACCTGCGAGCTCTGAAGCTCACTGCGCAGGCGCAGCTGCATCCGCCTTCCCCGTCACGTGACCTTTCGGTTTCCCTCACTGGGTAGGGCGGGGCCGCGGGGGGCGGACCCACTGCCTCAGGAGGTAGGGAGGCCGAGCTGCAGACTGCGGTTGCTCACGCCGACGTGTTCGCGTCCCGTGGTCCTGCGCGATAGTAGGCCCCGGGGGCGGGCCTCCCTGCCCACGACCTATGGAGGGAGCTCGCGTGGCTACCGCGGGGCCGACGGGTGCGGCGAGACGCTAGGTGGCCCGCAGACGTGCTGCTGCTTCCATCTTCCGAGACTGAGACCATGTCGGCCTACCCTAAAAGCTACAACCCGTTCGACGACGACGTGGAGGACGAGGGCACCCAGCCGGCCCCCTGGAGGGACGCCCGCGACTCCTCTGACGGGCCCACAGAGCCCGCGGACAGGCAGCAGTACCTGCGACAGGAGGTGCTGCGCAGGGCCGAGGCTACTGTCGCCAGCACCGGCAGGTCCCTGTCGCTGGTGTACGAGTCCGAGAAAGCCGGGGTCGCCACTTCCGAGGTGAGCTTGGGGCGGGCTAGTCTGGACCGGTCGGCCTTTGTTTTCTCAGATAGGGGTGAAAAATGTTCATGATCTTCTTCGAGAATTCTTGAATTGCCTGGAATGGGTTCTTGTATTTCAGGGACTTGATGAGTCACTAAGTAATATTTAGTTAAGTATGTAAAGAGACGTGCAACTGGAGTGCTTGAAGGAGGCAGTTCATCGCGGGAATCTAACGTAGCTAGTACTATCGACTGAATTTTTTTCCCCCTTATGCCTCGGTCAGACAGAGGTAAGTTGGGGTTTTGGTTGGTTGGTTTTTGTTTCTCGAGAAGAAGTCTCACTCTGTTGCTCTAGGCTAGAGTGAAACCTCAAACAGCAACCTCGAATTCCAGGTTCAGGATATCCTCCTGCCTCAGCCTCCCAAATTGCTGGGACTACAGGTACCTGCCACACGTCTGGCTAGTTTTTCTATTTTTAGTAGAGATGGGGTCTCATCCTTGCCCAGGCTGGTCTGGAACTCTTGAGCTCCAACGATCCTCAAATCTGGGCGTCCCAGAGTGCTGGGATTACAGGCATGAGCCACCACACCAGGACCAGAGGTAAATTCTATACTATATTCTGTCCAGGTGAGTAAAAATTCTGGGCCTGAGTTAGGGAAATATGGAGGGTTTGTTCTGGCCATCTCTTCCCAGAGTGACGCAGAAAGTGTAAGGACTCTGCTAATGCAAGTGTCAGGTGATGCCCTGAAACATCAGAGCAAATGGTCTTCCAGTTCTTGCCATATGATTGACAACTTCTCCACCTCCCCAGTAAGGGTGTTGTCTGCCAGGACAGCTGCTGAGTTAGCCAGCGCTTGAGTTTGGTTGAGTCTAAGGCCTTACCTTTATTTCCCAAGTTCTAAATAGTGGGTAGGTGGAGACAGTCTGTTGCTCCAATTCAGTTTTGTCAGTTGTTTCCATCTGTAGAAGATTTAAGAAAATTGGACCTTAAGTGAGAATTATAACACCACATCCTTTTTCTTTAGCCTACTAATGAAACATTTTTGTTGTTGGGCAGAGAGTAAAAGTTTAAAAAATGTAATAGATTAGTGATATTATCAGCTAAGAGAAATTAAGCTTAAGCATTTTGTAGCTTTGAAATGTAATATTTAAAGTTAAAGAATTGTCTTTTTCCTTGAGTCCATTCTTAACACTTCTGTCTGGCACTGTTCCTTCTGACCAGACCTGAGGTGTATTTGATTAAATTGTCATGTAGTCATCTTCTTGTAGTCATGTAGTCATTGCTTCTTTCGTGGTTATTTTGTTTCCTTTTTATGTGTCCCTCATTGACTCATCTTCCCCTCTTCAGCCTCATCCAGGAAGTTTTGCATCTCATACCTATTGGATTCTTGTGTTTCAGTCTAAATAAAAACTCTTGACTTGGATTTGGGAGGATTGCCGGAGGTTTTAGGATTCTGACAAGTGTCATTTGATTGAGGAAGGAAACCAACTAAGAAGACTAGTGTTACACAGACATCTTCAGAAACTGGAAGAACAGGCCGGGCATGGTGGCTCAGGTCTGTAGTCCTAGCACTGTGGGAGGCCGAGGGGGTGAATTGCCTGAGCTCAGACGTTCAAGACCAGCTTGAGCTGGAGTGAGCCAGAGTGAGACCCCATCTCTACCAAAAATAAAAAAGCTGGGCATTGTGGCAGGTGCCTGTAATCCTAGCTACGTGGGAGGCAAAGGGCAAGAGAATTGCTAAAGGAGGAAAGAAAAAAAACAAAAAACTTAAAACGAAAATAAGTGAAAGCCAGCTGAAATTGAAAGCAAAATTAAAAAAAAAAAAAACTGGGAGAACAAATGAAGTAGGAAATCAGAGTGATACCAAGTAGGTCATTGTGGTGTAGGATAAACTTGACTCTGGCTTTTAAGGCAGAGGTGTAGACAGGAGGCGTGAGAATGGGGGATGTTCCCAAGGAAGAGAAGAGACTATACAAAGACATTGGTCCGGCATAAGAATTCCTGGGCTCCTGAGTAGAGAAGTGATGGGCCAGATGTGTTAGAGGAAAGGGGCTGGGGGAGGTAGCTTAGGAGGCTTTGGAGTTCAGAGGGAAAGGTCTGGTATCATAACTTCGGAGAGGCAAAAACAAAATAGCACTGAGTTGTTTGGTACAGATTATGGTGACATGCCCCATGCCCCAGGGTGCCCCCAGAGGTTTTTCTATGCAGCAAAGGCAGTGGCACCGCAGGCCTGTGAGGCTTGGCCTGCCTAAGCCAGGCGTTGCTCTTACAGGTACAGTGTGGCCATGACTGGGCCAGTGAAAGTGTCTCTCATCAGTGTGCTTACGTGTTGAACTTCTCCAGGACCAGCACCCCACCCCATGCCATATTTTAAAGCTATTTTTCAGCCACTCTGATTACTGTTGTATTCCCTTTGGTGTTGGGATAGGGATAAAGGGTAGGTGAGCTCCTCTGCCCTCAGTGTGGTTCCTCACAGACCTGCTATCTGCACAACTTGGACAGTGCCTACCAGATACTTAGTATTGTGAAACATACTAAAACATGAGAGATTCGTATTAAAGATCAGGAGTTTACAAATAATACTAGGTTGGGAGGATCATAATTCAGTCCCAGCTTGGCAAGAGTAGAAAAATTACTCAATCATCTCTAGTAAAGGAGAACTGCCCTTGTCCTAATGTGAAACCTGGGAAGGTTTGTTTTTCTCAAAGGCTCTGACGGTAAGTCATGACCACCAGAGAACAGAGGAGAAATGGGCAGGTCCAACCCAACTGACCTGCTAAACAATTGACAGAAATACACAGAGAAGTGTAGGCTACTCATCAGCTCTCCTGTTTGGTAAGTGTGGTTTTTTTTTCTTGGTTTTCTTTTCCTGAGAAAAGAGAGGGTCCTGTCACATGGTTCAAAATTCAAAACAAAAAGGGCCAGGTGCAGTGGCTCACATCTGTAATCCTAAAACCGGGAGGCTGAGGTAGGAGGATTACTTGAGGCCAGGAGTTGGAGACCACCCTGAGCAACATAGTGAGACCCCATCTATATAAAAAATAAGAAAATTAGTCAGACGTGGTGGTGGTGGGTACCTGTAGTCCCAGCTACTCGGGAGGTTGACAGAGGAAGATCACTTGAGCCTGGGAGTTTGAGGTTGCAGTAAACTATGATCAAGCCACTGCACTCTATTTGGAGCAACAAAGTAAGACCCTGTCTCCAAAAAAAAAAAAAGCATACACAAAAAACACAGAAGGATATACTGTTTTCTCCCACTCCTCCTTCTGCCCCTAAGGCAACCAGTTACCATCTGCTCCTTCAGTGTCCTTGTGGAGTTACTCTGTGGATAAAGACATGGGTTTTTTCCTT